TATTTATAAGTACCTTTAATATATTTAATATATAGCTTGACTAAGGCCTTATAGCTCTCTAAATAGCTTTTAATACAAATATAGTATTTATAGATATGCAACTACAACCTTCTGTAGAGACTTATAGCTCACACTTTATCCGGTCGTAACAGCACACGCCTGCAACTATTGCCTAGTAGAGTTCTTTCGCAATTATTCGGACGCAAGGTCACTAAGGAGACACCTACTATAACGCGTCGTGATCACTCGTAAGCAGGAGGACTCATCTTAGCTTCTCTTATTGAGTCTACTCTTGATAAGATATTTACAAGGAGCATCACGTAAAGATATAAGTCTATCGCTCTCTATTAAAGTATATTAATATTAATTATTACTTTATATATAAATACTCTAAGAACTAGGATATTAAGCTATAATATTATTAAATAAATAAAATAATTACTAATAGCTATATAAAAGATTTATTAAGAGACAAGTTTAATATTTACTTATAGCTGCTTAGATTACAAGTCCTGAAGAATAACACTACTAATATTGTTATCTAAATAGTACTACTATTATTAACTCAGATTAGACTTACAGCTTACTATATTCTGTCACAACTAAGCTATATACTCAGAATCTACTAAACTTTGCTGTCGCCCTCTCCTTCGCTGTTATAAGGCAATTCAGACCCTCTTCGCCATCTACGACTTCCTTAGCCTGATCCAACATTTTTCGTCATGGCCTTGTGCATCTTAGTCCTGCTGCATGGCAGGTCCTCTCTCTTATTTTTGTTTATCGGTTCCCTTAATTGACGCATTACAGTGTCGCCACTTTTCTTTCTCTTACGGCTAGTCTGTATTATCGCTATAATATTCCTCCTAGTTAAGTAAACAACAAAGGGCAGGGATGTTTAGCAATAGCATTTCATTCTTATTCTTCTGGCGCTGCTGTCACCTGCAACTTGTAGCCTGCTAGCCAGACGTCCGAGTAGGAGTATCAAGTAGTACAGCTTAATACTGATACGGCTGTATAGCTAACGACCTCCTTGCAGGGCAGCGCGAGCTGCCGCAACAGCTGAATCCCAAAGCGGCTTAGCGCCCTTATTTCCTGTGCCCTTAGCATAGGAAATCCCTTTTAGGTAGCTACTAAAAAGCCTAAATAGGAAAAATACATTACAACAGAGTAAGAACTTTAATATTTATCTTAATAAATTCTCTGCTATTATCTATACAGATCCTCTTGAGTATAGCTTCTAAGATTTATTTCTTAATTAGGGCAAGCTACTTAGGCTATATAGCTTTGATAGACTTCTTGTAAAGACTATAGGATCATGTATATCAAGAGTCATTATCTATAATTATAAGGAGATATAGAAATTCATTATTAAGAGAGGGCATAAGCATCTCTATTAGATCCAAATAGACTATTTTAAGCAGAGTTTCTGAGCGCCTATTTATTGCCTGCTTTAGGAGAGGGCTTGCTTTTATTTAATTTATATCACAGCTATTGCAAGCCTTATAGTCGGCTTTTCTAATAGATATGCCAGTTATTTGATTAATTATTTTGCGTACAAGGGCCTTGCTTATGTGCCTAAGTCGTCTGTAAGCCAGTTCTATAGAAATAAGCTTAGGTTTTGATTCTGTATAGAAAACCTGCGGCTGTTCTCCTATAGAGATGATTAATAGGCCGTTTGAGGCATCTGCGCGAGCTAGTAGAGTCTCCTACTTATATAAGCAGTGCCCTGCGGCATTTGTATAAGAGATATCATAATCCCTTAGGAGTCTGTTGGTGGACAGAATGTTAACCTTGTGATAGAGGGTACGCAGATAACATCCTTGAGTGCAAAATTCATACTATTAAGAGATAGGTTGAATTCGCCATGCCTGTAGATTCGCTAAATGAGTTTGCTAAGGATACCGTTATAGAAGCATGTGAGTAGCATGCTAGGAGCTCCCTATAGGGCGTAAAATAATGCGTTGCTCTACTATCGAGTATCTATTGATTCTCAGCTAGAGAGAGATCAGAGCTATTGACTGTATAGCTTATATAGTTAACACTCCCTCTGATTTGTCAGCTCCCTCTGCTTAGGGGTCCTCTATTGGCTTCTCTATTCTGTCTGTAGATTGTCATTTATTAAGGAGGTAAGGGTGCTTCTTCTGCCATCCCTCTAGCGCCTTCTCTAAGTGCTTGTACCAGCAGACTTGGCCCTCCTTCAGAGCGTGTGTTTTGCTGCATTCAGAGCAATTTGACGTCGTTCTCTGTTGCTTAGAGCATCCACCTTGAGGAGTGTTATTTCGTTTTCTCTTTCCTGTCATAATGTTCGCTGTTGATGCAGGCTTCTTAGTATCCTTCTTAGGATCTTCTCTAAGCCTATAGAGGGTAGTATAGAGCTCCTCAGGGTCAGCAAGTTATGTTCTATTCTTATATTTCTCAAGGAACTTTGACTAATTAAAGAAGGAGTTAGAGTCGTTATTTTCGCTCTAGAGAAGAAGAAGAGTTAGGAGAGTTGTTGGATCCCAGGAGAAGCGTAGATTGTATGTCAAATAGTCGTACGCAGTCTTGTAAGCAGTAGTATACTGACGAATATCAGGATACTGTGAGCGTCAAAGGCTTAGGAGATTCTGGAGCGCTTGGAGTTGCTCTGTTATGAGAGGAGCTGCGTACGCCTGCTTGAGGGCTTCCCATAGGGTCTTTGGAGTGGAGTATCTGTTCATTCGAGTCAGAACAGTAGGAGATAGCCGTTCTATGATCTCAGAAAGGGCCATTTTCTCCTTATCTTGCCACTCGTTGAATTCCCTAATCTCTTCCTTGTAGTCCTCGTAAGCAGCATCCCATTGGCGCTGATTCCATCCATTGGTATCCAAGTCAAGATCCAATTGATCGAATTGCTCTCGAAATCGAGCAAGAGTTATAGGGGCTTTTGTGCGGCCACGATTAACAGGAGGATCTGATACGATAGGACTCCACGCTTTGAGCCTATTCAGGCGTGCTTTCATGACTCTTGACCATGAGAAATAGTCCTCAGTACCCTTGAGAAGAGGGATACGGGCCTTTTCGTAGGAGGAGTCGTAGGAGGAGTCCATAGCGATCGAATTTGGCTGTACGGTACAGCAGAATTTGAGGCTAGGCCGAAAGTGGTAATATGAGGCCTGCGAGGCTCTGGCGAATATCGATTTCTATTACAGCTTTCGCTTAATAGAGTAGAAGGCAGGCCGGGCTCATAACCTGTTAGAGGATGGTAGCAAACAGCGTACGGAGGTGCCAATTCACTTGATTGAGTTACTCCTATCAAGAGGAGTATTTGCTCATACTAATAGCTATAGAAGCGCATTACTGTAACAGCTCAGAAACAGCATTTGGCGTTCAATTCGTATAGCAATGCTCACTGCCATAAATAACAGGGCGTAACAGTTACAAGAGCGTTTCGTGCGTTTTGCATGCGGGGACCTTGTACCATCATGCTAGTACGTAACAGATACGTATCATAAACGCAGGGATTCTAACAATTGGAACATCGCAAAAGGATCATGGGGGGTGAACATAGACCAATGTGACAGTAATAATACTGTTTAAGATGCAGATGAAACAACAACCCCTGTCTCAATAAGACATTCCATCAATGGCTCATGAAGTTTTCCGCTACGGAGGGCTTCATAGATGATAGAGATCCACGATCCGATGGTCTTTTTCGTACTGCCGCTGGCTGCACAGTCTGCTGTCGGTGTTGGATGATCAATCAATCCTTGGTGGATTGGTACGCCTAGAGTCTGGCGCACGTAAAGGTACATTTTACGGGTGGCGTGGCTAAGGAATTCGGGCGTATTTTGCTGTTGGAAGAAGCGCGTGCGAATTGTGGTATGTGTTTCTGAGAGGACACTATGCGCTGACGATCTCCAGTTTGCGACCGCCTTCTGGACCGCCGGTGAAATACAAGCACCAGTATCTCTGGTAGAGAAAAAAAGTATTCTGGTTACGACGGCTAGGGTGGCGTCGATAACATGGGTAAAACGGTCCTGGTAGTCTTGATCTGCCGTTTGATGCCAAGTTGACTGGACGTGGTCCCAGACACTAGTGTTCAGTTCGTCGAAGTCTGCGTCAGAGAGAAGGGGCAAGAAGATGCGCTGATTGACAGTGTACAGTGCCGGCTCAAGAGCTTGAAAGAAGTTAATCTGGACGACACGGACATCAAGGGCTTGACAGACGGTATAAAGGTAAGAAGCGCTCATGAAGGATGTCAGCTCCACTGCGTGAGAAGTGTAGCGAGCGGAGAGGAGGGCGAGAGAGTTGATGGCTTGGTTGTGCATTTCAGCAGACTGAACATGGCTGCTGACTGGGTTGGCTAGAAAGGCGAGTTCGGACATATAGGATGCCATACCGATGTCCACACCCTTCATTGTGAAAGACAAGCTGGGATCATCTATAGCTAGGTTAGGAGGAAGCCCGTTGTTGAGCGTGGGATTTATGAGCTCAGAGCACTGGGCGAAGAGCATCTTGCCCACCATCTGGAGAGCCAGTCTAGTTTTCTCCATCGCCGACGTTATAGAAACGGCTTGAAAATTCCCGCCATGATGCGGCTTTTGGTCAGCAAGGTCAATGAGAGGATTGTCGGTCGTGGAGTTCAGCTCTACTGTGACTTGCTCGTTTGCAAGCAGAAGATCTTCCATCTGAGGGCCGACCCACTGCGAAGCTGTACGGAGAGCATATCGATCCTGGTAGATAAGACCTGCAGACTGTCTGGCGTCATCATGATGGCCTCGTGCAAGTCGAGAACCGTTCAGGAAATGTCGTATAATTCGTGCAGATTCCATTTGGCCTCGATGCGGCCGCACTTCAGCAAAAAAGGAATCGAAACTCGCAACTGTCCCCAACAGTGCCTCCAGAGTCATGGCGGTGAGGAGCTGCGAAAGGACGGTAATTTGATGTGCTTCGTATAGAACAATGCTCCCGACAGCTGCTGACGTTGCAGTCCCATTCATTAGCCCTAAGCCTTCCTTGGGACCGAGTGTGACGGGAGGAAGGTTTAGTTGCGCGAGCGCTCGCTCTGCGGAGATGACGCCAGTTGCGCTCTGAACATAAATATCCGGACTACCGGCTACCGTACCGGCGACATATGAGAGCGGCGAGAGATCTCCTGACGCCGAAATGCTACCTCGCAGCGGGACCACCGGAATCAGGTCGTTTTGTAGCAGAGCCACCATGGTTTCAATGATATGGAGAGACACGGACGAGTGACCACGCGCAACAGTATTGCATCTCACGAGCATTGTGCCCTTCACCCATGGCTGTGGCATTGCGTGCGACGATTCAAGGCCACTATGGGCCGCTGCTAATCCCTGATCCAGGGGAGTAAGAATACCGAATTGATGATGCTGAAGGAGTGCAGATTGGAGAGCTTCACTCTTCTTGGAGCGAGTGCCGGCACTTCCACCGAAGCCTGTATTCACACCTGGCATGAATCAGCACAAACGAATGCCCATAACACATCTCAGGAAGTGAAATTACCATAGATGATCTTCCCTTCTTCAATAAGTTGCTTGAGCAATATCACACTGTCTTCAATACGTTTTGCAAAGGCAGGACTTTTGTCGAGAGTAGGATGGGCATTGTATCTAAGCAGTCTCATGGTCAATGTCTAGGCTCCAAAATGAATGTCGGGGAAGGTTGGCACCTGGAAACGGCGACAATCGAGGGAATGTCAAGGCTACTCCCATCAATGACAACGCAACCGCGTTTGCGGATGATCTGTAGCCTCTTGAAGGTCTCATAGACCAACGTTGCATGTGTAGAAGAAGATGACTCGTCAGGCCAGAGCTCAGGACTACAGCCATTGCAGTAGACGACCATAGCGACCAGTTAATCGACTTAAAGAACGATTGGTCGTTTGACTTTTCTGATGAGGTTAAAGAACAGTGAAGCTCAAGGTCAATATGGAGGTGCTTCACTTCGTCAAGAGTCTCATGACAACTATCAAGGGGGGGGCAGCACGGTATAAGAGGGCGAAACGAACAACAAATATCAGTGCAAGGCAGGAGCAAACGAAACAGACAGGATGCCGAGAATAGCACATGACCATTATTTATTAACGTTTGACCTTTGGGCAGAGAAAGGATACTTCAGCTAAAGTCCGCTTGTATTCCCCACGGACAGCAAGAGTGGAGACGAGCAAGTTGCAACACATCACCATTCAGCAAACGGTAAAAATCTGCTAGTAGCTCGTTCTCATGGGCAGAAATTCGAGCTCGGCTTAAGTCAGGCCCGTCTGATGATGTCAAACTACATATTGTGGAAAAATCAGAAATCATAGCCTATATGTTGGGAAGATCAACTAGCACTCACATCATTGTGCTGTGAGTTCAGCATGCGCTATCTGTACATATCTAGTTCCCCACCGGTGCAAACACCAGAGAGATTGAATGAGCATGGCTTCATCACTTTATAGTGAGCATCAGGATGGTGTTGTGAAAGACGAGAAATCCAATGAGGAGCGCAGCGGGTAGGACCACCTGAGACCGTGGAGATAAACGACCATCTCTCACATTCGAACGTGGCTAGGCGCATGTCCCGTAGTTTCCAAATCAAGTATCCATCTCTAAAGTACATTGGGTTGAGCGGTTGAGAAAAGAAACTGCTCGTGACGAGCTTCTCGACACGTTCTGCCTCCTTCCAAGTGGAGCGCGAGTGTGTGTCGGTTGACTGGCAGTCAGCCGCAGCTGCGCGAATCGACGGGATCTTTCGCGTTTGGAAGTCATGTAGAGCCTGTTGAATAGCTTGCTCATTGGAAGAAGACTTGCCCCTGATTGCGGAGTCCGGGTCTGATTAGAATCTCAACACTAGTAATGAGACAATCTCACCAAGGGTGTAGGGCCGCCCATTTAGACGGCCTCTGTTGAGTATAGAGTGGGGAAGAAGACTAGCGCATTTGTCTTCGAATGCCATCTTATTACTTATTTGAATGCCAAGCTCCGACGCTGCACCTTAGGTACGGCGGACTATTATTAGGTTGACAGCCAGCAACAGGGTCATGTGATTCTGTTTGAGTGCCCTACCCTGGCACCCTTTTCTTGCACCCTCTTCTTACACCCTCTTCTTACACCCTTTTCTTGCACCCTCTTCTTACACCCTCTTCTTACACCCTCTTCCGTATAATAATTAGTAAACACGCTAGTAAACGCTTAATTATCGGCGCTATAGCTACTCCATTTACCCTCAAATTTCGTTAAAGCTTATTCTTTGAAATTGAATCCTCCTGAGCTTATAAGGTATTCTTATAGCTTATTATATATATACTATATATATACTAAAAAACAAAATGCCAAGACGAGCCCCCATTGGGTTTGCGGTCCGAGCCCTAGAAATCTAGGGACCAGCTCGGACCGGCTCGGAGCTCGGACCGGACCAAGAGGGTTAGGCTCGGACCATGTAGCAGCCTACCCTTAAGACTTAAGTACACTCTAGGCTTCTCTTGAATGATTGCCTACTTATGTTACAGGGCCCTTAGTGCTGAGGCCCATCTAGGCACGTCTTGGATTACCCGTTGCATATTTTAGGCTGGAGTGCCTAGCTACACCTAGTACTTGCTAGCTCTTATCTTAATATTAGCGTAGTTTGACTACTTTGATGCACGACTCCGTACTGTACAACTAACTGTACTTAGATCTACGCTCTCTACCCCTGTAGCTATCAATCAACTTGCTTCTCTATACACTCTGCACAGCAGGTTGACAGCTAACTATCTAGGAAGTTTACTATGTAGCTCCTACTCGATAAAATTCGGCGGTGTGTCTGATACTATACATCTATTTCAAATATCGGTGGCCATGTCATAGATCAGCCTAATGATTCATTGATTTTTGGCGGAAACTAGAATTTAAATTGCATGTGACTCACAAGTCTTTTGCTAGTCAGCCTTCTGTAGATCCTCCGGCATGGCTGCGAGCTTTAAATACTCAATTGAAATTGATTCCATACTGTTATTGTCTTCCTCAGCTTCTTGAGTTTATCCTGCTATATTCTTGCGGCTATGCTGTCGTTCTTTGTGTATGCTGCCTATGGCAGCATGATCCTTACATTACTCGTCTATAAGTATTTTCATGTTCCTAAGGGCCTGCCAAACGTCCCCACAGTGCCTGTCTATGTTACTCTAGCAGGTCTCTGGTCTGGTCTGGGTCAGGACGAAATCTATGACCGATGGCTGCGAAAGCCATTAGAGACTCACGGAGCCGTTAAGATATGGGTTCAAGGGGGTTGGAGAATCCTCATCACTCGGCCGGATCTACTCACTTCTATTTTCCGCGATGAGGATCTTTACGCAAAGAGTGGGCATATGAAAAGAGCACCATGGACAGTGATTAGTGCTTTACTTGGTGATAATATGCTCGCTGCACATGGGGACAAGTGGAGACTCTTTGCTTCGATTATGAAACCGGGTTTGCAGAAAACGCGCCACCATTCGGGACTGCTATTAGAGAAGTCGAGAGAGTTCATCGATCTACTGATCAGAACCCAGGCAGACGGGCCTGACGGTGGAATATTAGTGGATCCTCTGATTCAGAGGTTCACCCTTGCGGCCATGGGAGAAAGCTTGTTGGATTTAGACCTTGGTGTAAGTAGTAGCCCAGTTGTTAAGTGTTCTCTTCTAATTGATAGATTAGACTCTTGATCGAGCTGGACTTCGAATCGATGAGTTGGCGGCTATGATTATTCGGACCGTTTTCAAGCCTCTTTACTTCCACTTCCCAGATCTGGATAGATTTCCATGGCTGTTCAGATCGAGAAAACGCGCATTCGCTATTATGAAAGAGCTTGATGATCTGCTCTGCCATCTCGTCCGGGAGAACCCACGTAAATTAGAGTTGAAAAAACCGTTGGATTCTCAAGATGAACTCGTCATTCATAGCTTAGAGCGAGCTCTTGATGAGAAACTAATCAGCGACCATCAATTTAGGAGCAATCTCAAATTAATGTTCGTGACTGGGTACGAAAACACACAACAATTGCTCAATAGTTTGTTCTGGAAGTTGGGTACAGATCAGGTAAGCAATTTAGCTCTCTCTTGTGATGAGTTGAACAGCCCCTAATTAATCATACTCAGAGCGTACAAGATAAAGTGAGGACAGAAGTCTATGATAGCAACATCATTGATCCCACGGAAGAGTCGTTTAGCGCGCTTCCTTATCTTACCGCGGTCGTGGCCGAGCTTTTACGGTGTTATCCTCCCATTTCTCAACTTGTCAACCGCCGAACACAGAAGCCTTGTCGTTTGGGCGACATCGGCGACCTCCCTCAAGGTACTATTGTAGGATATAACGCATACGGCGTTCATACCGACGAGCATGTGTGGGGCCCAACCGCACGGGACTTCATTCCCGAGCGATGGGGCCATTCCTCTGACGAGATCCTTGCACGCATGCGGAAAGAAACAGCTAAAGGCACGTTTATCCCATTTAGCAGTCATAATCGAAAGTGCCCAGGACTAGGCTTTGCCGTTCTTGAGACGAAAATCGTGCTATTCGAACTAGTCCGACGGGTGAAGTGGCATGTCGCTCCAGATTACAAGATTAAATGGACCCGGGTAAGTGCTCACCGATTGTCTTCTTGCATTTTCATAGGCGGCACTGATGCTTCCTAGGGAGGCTTCTTAATGCCGCTCGAACTCAGAATCTTCGTGTCAGAGCTGCCCGTCAGAGACGCGAAGGCAGAAGAGAACTAGGAAAGGTGAAGCTTGGATCAATGTTGAAGAACGGAGAAAAAAACTTTGAGGCTCCTACCAGCCTAAAGAGGGCCGCTTACTACGGGTACAGGCCTAATTTTTGTACCCCCCCCTGCTGAAAATGTTAGTATCCGTACAAAACATACTACATACAATTAGGTATAGTCGTCCACATTATGGCCTAAATAAGATTAGTCTCTAAAATCAAGTTTTTACATTCTATTAACACCTCTAACTGCTTGACATCTTGTCTGTATCTACTGAAGCAGCTTTTGTAAGATATTTAGAAGACATAATATACCATGAAGCAGTGCTTATAGCTCATCTTATCATCAAGCTCATTAGTATCTATGCAGAATTAGTAGAATGCGTACAGAGTGAGATGAGTAGCATTTGCAGGATGAGCAAAATTCGTGCAAAATAGTGACGCAATGCTGACAGGGATGCTGGCAGGTGGGTTGTGTAAAAAACATGTTTGTAAGATATTTTGACCAGGGGGGGGGTACAAAAATTAGGCCTGTACCCGTAGTATATTAACAACGTGTGTGGATGTCCAAAGCAATTGTGAGCGTGAGCCTAGATGCAATTTCGGCCAACTTCAAGTTGCCTGTTGTGGTCTGCGGTGTTACCATCTCTCGACTCTCATTGGCCCACAGCGGTTCAATCGAGACAAGACTGAATTTCTCATTTCTTGTAACACTGGGTGGATAGCCTATCCACCATTCTGGCATAAAATTTGACATTTTTTTGATTGGTCAGTGTCAGCTACTAGTGTTACCGAATTAGGTTAGCTCCCGTAACCTTAACCTTAAATCTCTTACCCCCAAAGGGGCAGTAGGATAGGAATGTACCAATTGAGAGATACCAAATGACTCAAAAGCACCACCAAGAGGAGATCTCAGGACCAATTGATGCTATTGAAGCTGCTCCATTAGCCAAGGACTGCCCTCGACCCAAAAGAGCTCGAATTCAGAGTCGAAAAGCGCGAGAAAATCAGACGCAAAGTCAGCTATCCCAAGTACTTTCCTTGCGGCCTATCACACCTACGGTACCAACTTCAAGCGAGCAAAAACCGATATCTAATGAAGAATATTCCTTATCTGCTGGAAACGACGCATCTCAATCAAAATAGCGACGTCAATTACTCTGCCAAAACAGCTCTCAACGCTCTGGCATCAATACATAGCATAAAAAAGAAAAGAAAGAATAGCAAATACAAGTTAAATCTACTCAAAATAAGTCAGAAAAGCTAAAAATTCTTGTTAAACAAATTAGCCCTTATTAATCTTATCTAAAAAAACTAAACGTTCTAATCCTATTTATATTAGGGCAGCTAAAACTTTATACTTATAAACTTAAGCTAATTTAATTATTTTATTAATTTATTTTAAAAAAGCTATTTATAAATATTATAAAACATATAAATAAATATATATTTAAATAGAGATCTTAAGAATTTAATTAAAATTAGTAAGCATAAAAAGATATAACTATTATAAATATTAGAGGCTATATTAGCACTATACTTCTTATTAATATATAATTAGGTAAAAAAGATCTAGCTTATTATTAAAATCAGAAGAAGGACTATTCTTATTAGTTAATTACTAAATATATTTCTTTATATAGATTTTAGCAGATTTTAAGATATCTTAAACTTAATAAGCTAGAGCCTCTTACTAATAATTAATAATATAAAAAAGTTAAGCCTTTTATTACTTATTTTTATAAAATAATAACTTTAAATATATATAAATTATTACAGAATCTTTTAATTAATAAATAATTAGTCAAATTTAAAAGATGCTTAAAGCATATTATTTAGATAAATTTAAAGGCTACTAATAAAGAATATAAGATATGTTATAGCTGTTATGCTTATCGCTTGCTAGCGCTAGAACGCCGGGTATTAATTAGCACTAGACGTTAGTAAGGGGCATGCTTGCTATATAGAAGCGACCCTAGGGCCCTCACCGTCGACTCTCTAGTCTTAGGATAGCACTCAACATGGGCTGAAGATCTCGCGCACTCGTCGCCTGCTTCTAACGTGACACATGACATTATCCTAAGACTGCTCTTTGACTAGAAACGGTCGTTAAACTATCGACTGCAAGAGATCTGTATCTCTAGACCTGTCGCCAGCTCATTCTAGGTTAGTGTTGATATTCAAGGTCAGACTCGAGTTTAAAGCAAGCCCCTCTGATACCCTTTGTGCCCCTGACGAGGTTAAAGAAGACAAGGAGATTCGGACCTCTGAATTCAAATAAGCAGGATCCTTGTACTTAGCAAGTAAAAGAACAGGGCGCCTTGTACATATATATATAATGACTCTGTAATTGAGGCAGAGTATAAACATAGGGTCGACATACTCTAGAGCTGTTAGACAGCTGCCCTATTTAAAAGGGCTACTAATCTTTTCTTTACCTTGATAATTATAATCCCTTTTAAGGTCCTGTCGCCTTTTCTCTTTTGACTTACATAATACTTTATTAGAGCCAGGTTATATATTAATAATAATAATACTAATTAGTAACTAGTTACTAATACGCAAAAACATAAAGGTAGCCCTTCAGACTATATTTAATACAGCTGCCTTTGACTTATTTAGCCTAGATAAGACTAATAACCTTATTCCTCTTACTAAGAATAATTATCTTAATTTCATCTTATCTTTTAACCTTTTTAATCCCTTTGCCAGAATAGCTTAGCTAAGAATAATTATACTAGTTAATCTTTAATCTGATATTAATGTTATTTTAGCTAAGCTACAACAATAAGGAGTATAAGAATAAGCTCTGATTAATTAGACGGCTAAAAGGGTCGCCTTAGAGCTAGTGAAAATAGTAAATACTAATACTAACTTAGCTTACTAAATTTCAGAGTATACTATATAGCTTGCTACTACTAGCCAGAAGTTAGAGAAACAGAATACAGCCTTATAAGAACGAAATATAACTTTACAAGAGCAAATTGCTAACTTAATAAAGTAGCTGACTTGTTATTAAGTGTCTACGCGTTAGGCGCCTGCCTCTTTAATGTCCTTTGTATATTCTAATCTATATGTAAAGACAGTAGCTAGCTTATGATAGAAGGCCACTTCTACAGACCCTCTTCCAAAAGTAGAGCGTACCTCAAACCCGTTATTAACCTTCTTCCTGTCGCCTCTTCTGAGGCCTATTCTGACACAAGCGCAGAATTATCGCCCTCGTAAGACTGGCTCTTATAAGCCAGAAAGCAAGAGAGCCGGCACAGAGCCCCCTAAATTAACTTCTCTCCTGCCTCCTGCCATCAGAGATCTCTGCAAGAGTACTCCTAAGACCTTTAGCGGCCTAAGCGGCCCTAAGGATATCCTAGTCAAAGATTGGATTTATAAGACTCGCTCTCTTGTCAGCCCTTTCTTTCAGGATGACTTACAGGTTATGAGATTTATTACTAGCCTTGTAGAGGGCCTTGCTAGAGACCACATCTGCGAGCGCCTTAAACCAACGTTACCATACCCTATTCAGACGCCTGAGGAGATCTTCGCCATCATGAAGTAAGCCTTCAGAGAAAGCAACACGTTACGCTGACAACGTGCTAAGGCGGCCTATGCCGCCTTACGCTAGAGTGACCGACTGTTTGACGCTTTCTGGGCTGACTTCACGTGTTTAGCGTCACAGATCAGCAAGTCTAGCCAGGATTAGTATGAGGACCTGCAGGAAAAGATGTCCGCCGAACTCCTTTGCGAGATAGGGGATCAGACTTTCTACGACGCTAGCACTATGGCTTATTGGGTTATGGAGCAAGAGAACCGGCTTATACTAATTCGTAGAAAAGAGAGAGAAGAAGAGCGAATCCGCAACCGTGCTTGACCCAACAGCCCGAGGCCCGACACCAGGCGCCCAGAAGCCAGGACTACGCCAGATAAGGCGTATCCGTTCCCTTTAGCCCTGACAGCAGGCCCACTATGATGCTCTTTTACTCCTTCTCCTGGCCAGGCTACTGGTTCAAAATTAAAGCGTGTAGGTTTCAAGAAGGATGATACAGTAACTTATTTTTATTGTAACAAGCCTGGCTATGTAAAACCTGACTGCCCTGACCTTTATATTAGTAAGATTAAAGAGGCAGAATCTGACTTTAGAGATAAGTCCTTTAGCCCTGATAAGGAATCTGCAGAGTCAGAAAACAAGATGCCTTAAGCGAAATTGCAGCCTTAGGCTATTATGAGAGCGTACTTATCAGGCTTAACTAGCTCATCAAAGGGCTATCTCTTATTGTAGCATTTGATTTTAAGGGTACAGATAATAAGGTTCTTTATCTTCACGCTTTAGTAGATAGTAAAGCTAACACGTATATTCTGATCAACAAGAAGATTACTTAGGCTGCCCCTTAATAGTTTAATATCCCTCTTATTCTTCTGAAGAGGGCTATCTTATTAATTAGATTTAATAATTAGCCTAACAGGCTAATTAATCATCTATTTTTTGTTATAACCTAGATTTATAGCTATACTCTTGCTAATATCCTGCTCTTAGCTACTGACCTTAGCTCTTATAATATTATTCTAGGCTATAAATAACTAGCTAAGCATAATATTTTGCCGAATTATAAGAGAAATAAGATATATTAGCTAGAAAACTACTAAGTATAGAAATAATACAATACTTGTAAAAATAAGCTATTTAAAGAGAATATTTAATATTATAGCCTTAAAGTTAGCTCTAATAATATTAGTAAGGCTAGGACTTGGTTTCAGAAATCTATGCAAGAACAGCGTTAGTATTATTAATATTATAAAGTAGAGCTTAAGTTGCCTCTCTTTAATAAAGCTGACAAGAGCCTTAGTCTTAACTCTAATCTAGATAAGGCTAACACTAATAACAGAACTGTCTTTATAAATCTTGTAAGCGCTATAGCCTTTTATGTTAGTAGCAAATAGGACAGCGTAATATTAGGGATAGTTACGTTAGATAATATCGACTATAAGCTATAGAAACAAGGCCGCCCTGCCTTATGCCAAG